GGGAAAGCCACACAAGTGAAAGTATCAGTTATGTCTGGGTGTCATGAACATGGATAGTAGCATTCTTCCTTTATAGGTTCTTAAATGTTTTGTTCAATGTTGTTTCACTATAACATGGATAGGAAAAAAAAAAAAAGATTTCGGGCCAGGGCCACTGTCTGTAGAGTTTGCAAATTCTTCCCATGCCTACGCGAATTTTCTTTGGGTACCCAGCCTCCTCCCATATCCCAAAGCTGCGCATGTTAGGTTCTTTGGCGTGTCTAGGTCATCCCCGTCTGAGTGAGTGTGGGTGTGTGGGATGCACTCTGTGATGGAAGAGGGTCCTGTCCAGGGCTGGTTCTGGCCTAGCGCTCCGAACTTCTGGGGTAGGCTGAGGCCACCTGCCATGCTGAAATGGAATAAGCAGGTAAATCATGATCTTGTTTTTATTAATCTTTCTTAAATGTTTGTAGAGCTCACATTTATGTAAATGTTTAACAGTGGGTTTTGAGTCTTTATTTAGAAGTGTGGTGATGTTTTTGTGACCAGAAATATGCTATAGGAACTGAATTCTTGTGGATGTCAATTTGCTTCTGGCAAAATAGGTTTTGGCTGGGTGCAGCGCCTCAAGCCTGTAATCCTAGCACTTTGGGAGGCTGAGGCGAGAGGATTGCCTGAGCCCGGGGGGTTCAAGACCAACCTGGGCAACTTGGCCAGACCTTGTCTCTACAATAAATAAATAAAAAATTAGCCAGGTGTGGTGGCGTGTGCCTGTAGTTCCAGCTACTTGGAAGACTGAGGTGGAAGAATCACCTGAGCCCAGCAGGTTGAGGTTGCTGTGTCTGTGAGTGTGCCATTGTCCTCTAGCCTGGGCGACAGAGTGAGACTCCAACTCAAAAAAAAAAAAAAAGGCTTCGTTCTGCTTAAAGTTGCCTCATTTTGCTTAAAGTTGCTGTTTCCAAGAACCTATGGACCATGACCTTAAGAAAGGACTTAACCTGTACAACTTTCCTAGACCACAGCATCTGATGAAGGTCTTCAAACGACGCATCAAGCAAAATAGTAAGAAAATACTTTTAGGTGCTGCAGCACCATCTCTCTCCACCTCTCTTCACCTCCAGAGGGTCCCCTGGGACCCCTCTGGCAGCTCCTGGAATAGTTAACCTCGGTTGGCTTTGAGTTTCTATTCCCTGATCTTGGGTGTTCCTGCTGCCACTCCGTACTCTGCCACCTTGTGGATTTATTGGGAATTGCGTCTTCTTCTGAGCCTCTGACTCTCCTGGTTATCTGGCTGCAGCCTTCACTGGGAATGGGGGTGAAGGATAGAATTCGCCACTCTCCTCAGAGTGACACAGCAAGGGACTTTGTTCTTTTAGTCTTGCTATAGCCCCTTTCCCCTTTTGGGATAATGCCTCCAGAGGCCAAGTCGAAGAGCATTTGAATGGCGCTGCGGTGTCATACATGAAGGGCCCTCTCCACCTGAGACCTTGCACCAACTTCCCAGGGTGTGATACAGGCCTGAGTCTCTCCAGTATCTCCTTTCTAGTCCACCAGAGGTTCCTTGTGCTTTTTTAAAAAATATAAGAGTAATGAGTTTATAGTTCAATGGAGGAGACTGGTTTTTAACAAGTAAACAAATAAAATACAATATTTATAAATTATGTGAGTGTTAGGAGACAGAGAGCAATGGTGATGGTGGGGGCAGGGAAGTTGTTACTTTTTTAAAGCAGGATTTATTGAGAAGACAGAAAAGCTCGAACAGTGGGAGGGGACTTGAGGGGTTTGCCCGGCAAGGAAGTTTTGTTAAGTAGGTTGGTAAGGGCAGGCTTGCCTGAGTAGGAGAAATGTCAAATGAAAGCCTGAAGAATGACAAGGATCCAGTTATTAAAAGAGAGAGGAAGAGCATGTACAAAGGTCCTGAGGTGGGAAAGAGTTTATTAGGTTAGTATGGCTAAGTTGAGCCAGTGAGTTGGAGGGGAGTGGATGGAGTGGAATAGAAAAGGGTAGTAGGTGGAGATAACACAGGGTCTGGTAGTGCTTGGTAAGAATTCTGATTTTGTTCTGAGTCTAGTGGGAAGATAATGAAAGATTCTTAGGCAGGGAAGTGGTGAAGTCTAAATTATAGCTTTTTTTTTCTTTCTTTAAAAATTTTTTTTAGAGACAGGGTCTTGCTCTCTCACTCAGGCTCATGGGATCATAGTTCACTGCAACCTCCAACTCCTGGGCTCAAGGGATCCTCTTGCCTCAGCCTCCCAAGTAGCTGGGTCTACAGGTATGCACTACCATGCCTAGCTGATTTTTTGAGGTGGAGTCTCATTATGTTGCCCAGGCTGGTCTGGAACTCCTGTCAAGTGATCCTCTTGCCTCGACCTTCTAAAGCACTGAAATTATAGGCAGTAGCCACTGCGCCTGGCTCTATTTTCTAATTTTAGTTTACAAAGATGTGATCAGGAGGGAGGCTGGGACAACAGCTGGAAGCTTGCTGCAGGAAGCAGGATGAGAGGAAAAGTGGGCCTAGACTGGAGGGGTGGCAAGAGAGGTGGAAGTATCTAGATCCATGCTAATATGGTAGCCGCTAGCCACATGTGGCTACTGAGCCCTTGAAACATGAAATAAACTAGACACCAGATTTTGAAGACCTGGTACAAAAAAGGATGCAAAATATCTCACTAGTAACTTGTTTATATTGATTACATGTTGAAATAATAATATTTTGGATATTTCATTATGTTAAGTAAAATGTAATATTAACATTTTTTACCTTTTTACTTTAAAAAACATGGCTACTAAAAATAGTTAAATCGCACATGTTGCTTGCATCCGTGGCTCACGCTGTGTTTTTTAAAAAATTTATTTTATTGTAAAGATGTGGGGTACAACTCAGGATTAGGTAAACAAATGGTTATCGTACAGGTAAAGTTTGGGCCTCCCTTTGGTCCCCGCTTTTCCTGGTTTGAGATGAGATACTCTTATTAATGTTATGTCCCCTGAATTTTCCAGCTACTGCCAATCCTCACATTATGTTTTTATTGGACAGTGCTGATATAGACAAAAGTTATTAAGTTAAAAAATTAAGTTATTAAGTTAAAAAATTAAGTTATTAAGTTAAAAAATACTTTTATAGCCGGGCTTGGTGGCTCAATCTGTAATCCCGTGCCTTTGGGAGTCTGAGGGGAGTGGATTGCCTGAGCCTGCAGGTTCGAGACCCACCTGGGCAACTTGGCGAGACCTCATCTCTACAATAAATCAAAAATTAGCTGGGCATGGCAGCGCGCGCCTGTAGTTTCAGCTACTTGGAAGGCTGAGGCAGAAGGATTGCCGGCGCCCAGCAGGCGAGGCTGTGGTGGCTGGGAGCGGCCACTGCACTCCAGTCTGGGCGACAGAGTGAGACTCCAACTCAAACAAAAACAAAAACAAAAAACTTTTATAGTAAATTTACATTGGACACATTAGAAATTTCTGACTAGGTATAGTTTTTTTTTCTGGTCCACAGAAAATATTTATTTGAGATAACAAAACAATACAATTAATATTCTACCCAGCTACAATGAGCAAAAGGAATGAAAAATTTGAATGTACATTAAGAAACTCAAGATGTTTAAATGACAAATTTTAAAAATAATGCTCCTAAAATTTCTCAGTTATTGAAAATTATATGAAAACAGAAGGCTATGAATAGCTGCTAAGTGCATAAAAGTAAACCTAAAATTTTGAGCAAATTAACACGGGAGGCAACTTTGCTAACAATGCATGAATTTTTTTCTTGTTTACAATCTGCTCATAATATCTTTATACCAACTGAGTAGGCAGCATGTTTAGGTTTAATATCAGTTACGCAGCATTTGCATAAATTCCAACAACTACAGAGGGGGTATTGTTTTCTTTTGCACTGGTGAAGCGACCACAGGAATATCAGTTCATCTCTCTGAATGGAGATTTATCCAAATAAAAGTCATATATCTTCCAGACATATTTGTAGGATATATTTAATAATTTCTTCATGTGATATTTAAAGATGATTTGCGTTTAAGAGGACCTCAGCTTCTTGCGGTTTTATTGTTTTTATCAAGAAAGCCTTAAGTCTGTGGTGAGGCTGCTTCCAGTCCTACCTGAGGCATGTTGCCTGAGGCCCTGTAAGCGATGAAGGGTTGCCCCTGAGGTCATGGGGCTCGATGGGAAGAGCACACATCCTGGGTTTGAAGACGGAAGACTTAGGCTCTACCTGGACATCCATAATGGGTGTACTTGAACTTGATTTCACATATCTGAATCTCACTTTTTAAAATTTGTGAAATGGAAATGGATAATAAGTAGTCCTAGCTGGCACGAAGCTCGCAGGTGTTCCTTATCCTTTCTGACACTCCACAAAGTAGGTACTGTTATCTCCTACTTTGTGGAGTGTCAGAAAGGATAAGGAACACCTATGAGGGGAAATTGAAGGTAAGTGATTTACCTAAGGTTCCATTGCTAGAAAGAGGTAAAGTCAGGATTTGAACCCTGGTTTTCCTGGCTCCAAAGTCAGCTGAAAAAAAAAATCACCACCCCCCACCAACATGCTCCTTGCTAGTTTCTATGCCTATCTCTGAAATTATTGGGAAGATCAAATCAGACTGGTGAATAGGCTTTGGAAAAATCTCCTACAATATGCAAATATTAGAGATTGTTAATTCTCAATGAAACAGGAACATAAATGGACGCTACAGATAAGCACTCATAAATGACTGCATGATATAGATATTTAAGTGAAATAAATATCACATATGGCTTTTTCGAATCAAGCTCTGAACGTCTTATTACAAAGGGATCATTTCCTTCCTCAGGATGAATATTTACAGGAATTCAGAGGAAAATATTTTAGCGGTCATTACTAAAACACCCAGAGTCAGATGCATTCAGCATCATACGATAAGTCCTGTTAGCCAAAGCATAAACAAGCGTTGGTCCTGGTGTGACCTCTTTCAGGAGGGCAGGCTTGGTCTGGGAGGGTTCATTCAGCAGCAGGAGCGAGGAACCCAGGCAGGATGAAGACGCTGCTGGTATTCCTGCTGTCTCTCACCTTGCTGGCGTTCTTCTCAGGTGAGCACTCACCCCCGCAAATACATCCTCTTTTTATGCTGACATGATGAACTGGAGTAATAGTCTATCTGATACTTTTAAGGGATTTTTAAATTTTCAAATAACATATCATGTATAATGGATAGACATTTTAACGCTTTTTCTTTTTCTTTTTCCTATAAGAGCAGACTCCCAAAATTGCTATCATTAGGCATGTAATTTTTAAGAAAATTCTTTAAATGTATTTGAGTACCAATTCTCAAAAATACTGACAAATCTTCAGCTATACCTTCTTTTAGAGTTCGTACGAGATCACTAAAACTTGATCTACTTTTATCATGGTAACATCTTTTAAAATATGCTTATGATTGTCAAAACAATATAATTTTATCACACTCTCTTCTTTGAGGGGAGATGTGTGATTATCAAGTTTAACATAATCTTGTTGTCGCTGGGCATCTTCTAGTACTACTTTTTAATTTTAATTTCAATTTTTGAGTTGGGGACTCACTTTGTCACCCAGGCTGGAGTGCAATGGCATGATCATGGCTCACCACAGCCTCGACCTCCTGGGCTCAGATCTTTTCACATCAGCTTCCTGTGCAGCTGGAACTACAGGTGCGTGCCACCATGCTTGACTACGTTTTAATTTTTTTGGCTCACTATGTTGCCCAGGCTGTTCTTGAACTCCTGGGCTTAGGCATTCCTCCCACCTCAGCCTCCCAAAGTGCTGGTATTACAGGCATGAGACACCGTGCTTGGCTAGTAACTACTGCTTTAAACTTGATTTGGGATATTGAAGTTTTTTTTTTTTTTTTTTTTTTTTTTTTAAGTCTGTTAAAGCCAACACAGATCAGAGAACTGAAGAAAATATGTTTTAAAAAACATATTCGTTAAATCAATACCCACTTTTTTTCCAAAGTTTTCAGGAGAGATTCACCTCCCCAAGGTCAATACCCACTTTTAAAGAAATGGGCAAATAAATATATTAGATTGTACAGCTTTTGCTCTGAGTTAATCACATAAGAGACAACGTAAAATTCCTCTCTGTGCCCTCTGGAATACCACTTCCTTTGGAACAGGTTCCTGAGAAGGAATGTGAGTGTTTTCATCAAAATTGAACTTGCAAATCCTTTGCCTTAGACTGTGGAGATGGTGCCCGAGCTCCTGCACCCGAGATTTCTTAAGGCCACTTGTGACTTTTCCAGAGTCCTCCCCAATTCTGAAGGAGAAGCAGGCCAAACAGCTCCTGAGATCCCGGCGACAGGACAGGACAAGCAAACCTGGATTCCCTGACGAGCCGATGCGGGTGAGTGCTTGGCCCTGTCAATTTTAAAGAAAATGAGATCATTTGAATGCTCACTCATTATAAAACTAAACTAGATGTTGATCACAGCATGGGCTGCTCATTGGGGGGCCTGACAGGATCTCAAGTATAACATACATGCTATGTCAGCTTTCTCCTATGCGTTTTTTCCTCTGGAGATGCCAGCCTGACTCACCTATTGTGAAAAGGGTGTTTATTTATTTATTTGTAGTCAGATTCTCACTTTGTCATCCAGGCTGGAGGGTAGTGGCATGCTCACGGCCACCATAGCCTCGACTTGGTGGGCTCAGGCTATCCTTCCACCTCAGCCTTCCAAGTAGCTAGAACTATAGGTGCACGCCACCACACCTGTCTAATATTTTGATTTATTGTAGAGATGAGGTCTTGCCAAGTTGCCCAGACTGGTCTTGAACCCCTGGGCTCAGGCAATCCCCTAGCCTCTGCTTCCCAAAGTACTGGGATTACTGGTGTGAGCCACCATATCCGGCCAGAGTTTAAAATAGAAATAGTGGGGCCAGGAGGGGTGGCTTACACCTGTAATCCCAACACTTTGGGAGACTGAGGTGAGAGGACTGCTGGAGCCCAGGGGTTTGAGACAGCCTAGGCAACATATTGAGACCTTATCGCTACAAAAAAATTAAAAAATTAGCTAGGCGTGGTGGTGCATACCTGTAGTCCCAGCTACTCGGGCTACTAAAGTGGGAGGATCACTTGGGCCCAGGAGTTTGAGGCTGCAGTGAGCCATGATTATTCCACTGCACTCCAGCCTGGGCAACAGAGTAAGGCCCTGATTCGAAAAACAAACAAATAAACAAAAACAACAGCAACAAAAAATAGAAATACTGGGGCCGATGGTGGACATTTCAGAATCCTGGGTGGGCTACTGAGCATCACCCCTGACCTGGTTCCTGGGGAGCTGTTCTCTTTTGCTGACACCAACCCTACCTTCTCCCTCTTTCTTTGGGTGCTATGGCACTATGGACCAGCATCGTCATCCAATGATGGTCTGTGTAAACAAGTAGAATCTCCATCCCAGCTGCCTAGGAGGTTCTGCCTTGATCTCTTCCCTCTGATTTTGGTCTCTGACCTCAACCCTGCCCTGTGGGTTCATGGTGTCCTCCTGTCTAGTCTTGTTCCTGAACTGGGCACCCTCTGCTGCTTTCATTTTGTGAATTTAGTGGATGCCACTAGATCCTGACCACGTTCAGGCCTGGCTTGGGTCCTCTTGTGGCTGAAGCAGTACTGACTCTCGTGGTATTTTTGCTGCACTCAGGTGAAAGTGACTAGCAGTGACCCAAAAGAGTTAGGATGTCTGGGGAGTTGTGTCTGTGGTTCAGGCTGGTCTCCCATCCTGGCCTTGGGCTGGGCACCATGCTCGTCCTCTCTTCCCTGCATGTCCATGTTGAGGCTCAGGAGGATCTGTAGCATCCTTTTTCTTCATTCGCTGCAAAATCATGTGTGTAATTGGATTGTTTCTCTTGAAAGGCTCTTATTAAGATACAGTATCACACAGTGATGCAGAGTGTTGGCTCTGGGGTCAGACTGGGTTTGAATCTCTCCATTTTCTTTTTTATTTTTTACTGTTGCCAGACTGGAGTGCAGTGGTGCGATCTCGGCTCACTGCAGCCTCAAATTTCTGGGCTCAAACCATCCTTCTGCCTCAGCCTCCTAAGTAGCTGGGACTACGGGCATGTGCTACCATGCCCAGTTAATTTATTTACATTTATTTATTTATTTATGTATTTATTTGAGTTGGAGTCTCACTCTGTTGCCCAGGTTGGAGTGTGGTGGCACACTTACAGCCACCACAGCCTCCACCTGCTGGGCTTAGGGGATCCTTCCGCTTCAGTCTTCCAAATAGCTGGAACTACAGGCGTGCACCACCATGCCTGGCTAATTTTTTGATTTGTTGTAGAGACAAGGTCTCGTCAAGTTGCCCAGGCTGGTCTCAAACCCCTGGGCTCAGGCAATCCTCCCGCCTCTGCCTCACAAAGTGTTAGGAATATAGGTGTGAGCCACCGTGCCTGGTCTTATTTATTTATTATCTCACTATGTTGTTCAGGCTGGTCTCAAACTCCTGGCCTCAAGGCCAGATCCTCTTGCCCTGGTCATTTTTTTTCTTCCCATTTTAACTGTGTAAGCTTGGGGAAATTTTCTCACATTTCTGCACCTCTATACTCTCATCTACAAAGTGGGGATGACAAGAATATTATTCCTTGTATGACTATTACGTAATTTTTTTTTTGGTCGGAGTCTCACTTTGCTTCCCAATCCTCTCGCCACCACCTCCCAAAGTGCTGGGATTACAGGTGTGAGCCACTGCGCCTGGCTACTATTATATAATTGTTATAAATAATAATGCAAAAACTATTTTACGAGGTTATAATAAAGTAATTCATAGTCAAGCCTCAGAACAGAACTCGGCAAATAACTGCTCCTTTGAATATTAAGTACAGGCATGGATGCTTAGGCTGTGCAGATGAGTATCTTCGGTTTCTGCTTAGAGTCTGTGGTGGAGATAGAAGTGAGCAAATGGCTGCTACATAGCATGGCTTAGAAACGAATGACTTCAGGCTGTTAGGGTGGAGGTGGCTATTTTTTTCTGTAGAAGAAATGAGAAGTGGCTTGGGATATCTAAGTGCAGGGCTGCAGGGGACAGGGAGGTGGGCAGGGCAAGATCAAGGAGAGTTTGATTACCCTGGACCTGGTCTTGGGTTCAGTGGAGAATGACTGAAGGACTTTTCAAGTGGGGAGTACAGATCCAATCTTTAAATAGGTGGTTCCAGAAGCAGAACAGGAGAGGCCCATGATTTGAGTCTGGGGACACCAACACTCAGGGGCTGGCAGAGGAAGAGGAGCACCAAGGAGACTGAGAGGGAGCGTGGAGAGATGTGGAGGAGAGTGGAGAGAGTGGGGGTGGCAGAGGAAAGGGGAAGAGGTTAGGAAGAAGGGGGTGGTGAGCTAGGCAGGGGATGGTGTGGGGACGAGATGCCTGGAGGGCCCCGTGAGGGGGCTCTAACTGGCCCCCATGTGCTTTTGGCATGATGTCTGGAGTAACCGTTTTGAAGACTCTTCCTCGAGGACCCATGGAGCCTGGGGAAGCCCGCCAAAGTGCCCCCAAGCAATGGCTCCTGCTCCAGGTGCTTGAGAGGTGGCTCTAATGGGTCCCCAAATTTGTCCCCCGATGTTTTCTCTGCCAGCCTCTGCACCTGTTCTTTTGAACTTTGTGGAGTAACGGCCTCTGCCCTGACTGAGGCATCGTAGGCACAGATCTGCAGGCGGGTGTGGGGTGTCACCGCTCAGCTCCCTGCCTGCAGCCCCTCCCCTACTCACATGCCAGCCTCCATGCCGGGCCAGACATTGGCCCTAAAACCCTGCTTTGTGGGTCCTTTCCCTGCTCAAAAATTTCTGAAATCTCTTTCTCTGACCGTTTGCCTTTTCCTGGCTTGTGATCATCATTTCCCTTAATCCTTGACAGCCCCCCACTTGTCTCCAACGTTGCAATTTTACTAAATATCTGACTTTTTTCTCATTTGTTTTTGTCACCTTTTGTTGGCTTGACCGCCACCTGCTCCTTTTAACTGCCTTGGACCTACTGATCTGGTTTCTCTGTGACTCCTTCTTGTCCCAGAACCACCTACTGCTGGGCCATCAACCATCCCCTGTGCCCCCCACCCCGTGTATAGTCCAGTCCTGAATGTCCCTCCATGAGACACTTGACCCAATGTCCAGATTCCTCAGACACTTGGGCCAGTTTGGAAAAGTGGTCGTGTGACTTACAATTGTAATGTAAGTCTACACCAGTAGGTCTCATCCAGGGATGATTTTGCTCCCCCATCTCCAGGGACTTTTGTCAATGTCTGGAGACATTTCTGGTTGTCATACCTGCCGGGGGGGGGGTGCTATTGACACTAAGCCAGGGATGGCATCCTGCTAAATATCCTGCCACCCACAGGGCAGCTCCTACAACATAGAATTATCTAGCTCAAAATGTCAGTAGTACTGAGGGTGAGGAAACCAGTCTACACAATGCCAAGTAACCTCATTCTCATCTACTCTGTGTCGCACTGTATCTCTTTTGCTCTCATCCACAGTTATACTCACACACGCATGCACACAGAACTGGGTGAATCAACAAGTAGCTTTTGGTATCATATTTTTCTAGGAATATGTTTCTTCTTTTTTTTTTCTTTTAAGTTGGAGTCTCACTCTGTTGGAGTGCAGTGGTGTGTTCATGGTCACTGCAGCCTCAACCTGCTGGGCTCAAGGGATCCTTCCGCCTCAGCCTTCCAAGTAACTGGAACTATAGGTTCACACCACCACGCCTGGCTAAATTTTTGATTTATGTAGAGACGAGGTCCTGCCAATTTGCCCAGGCTGGTCTCCAACCCCTGGGCTCAGGCAATTCTCTCGTCTCAACCTCCTAAAGTGCTGGCATTACAGGTATGAGCCACTGCTCCTGGCAGGAATGTGTTTCTTAACTTTGTTTGCACACTGCATTCTCTGCTTGGAGGATTTAAAATGCCAATGTCTGGAGAATTTAAAATACTGAGAATTTAAAATTTTCTCCACTCCTGGGTTTAGGGTGTGGCCTAGGTGTAAAGGTTGGGGTTAAAGTTCCCAGTGGTGAAAACGTGTTGCTGAGAACTGAGAACCACTGTGCTGGGCTTTCTGAGAGAACTTAGCCATGTGTGCTACCTGCGCCCATGGTCTAGTTGGGAACACAAAAGCACTTAGAAAATAGTTAAACGTGCCGGGCTCGGTGGCTCAGCCTGTAATCCCGCACTTTGGGAGGCTGAGGTGAATGTACTACCTGAGCCCGCGGGTTCGAGACCCGCCTGGGCAACTTGGCGAGACCTCATCTCTACAATAAATAAAAAAAAATCAGCCGGGCGTGGTAGCGTGTGCCTGTAATTCCGGAGCCCAGCAGGTCGAGGCTCAGTCACTGCACTCCAGTCTGGGTGACAGAGTGAGACTCCAAC